CCCCAAAACCCCAAAACCCCAAAACCCCAAAACCCCAGCAAGATATATTAGATTGCATGCAGATGAATATTTAAGCTCCGTCTTCTTTAAGGACTTTTGGAGTGTAGTAAAATGTGGCAATTCCTGATTTGTCCCCACCAGGAGTTCCCTTTCTGATTGACTCCGCTATTCTAGAGTACCTGCTGCCTTCTATCAGTACTCCTTTGTTCACCCAGTATTCAGTGTGCTCTTTTACATCTGATTGGGCAATGGAAAGTTTTTCAGCAATGTATTCTTCAGTGATTTCATTCTCATTTTCATCGAAGAGTGAAATTATGGCAGCTTGGATCGGACTGACATTGAACTTGAAAGAACCGTTGTCAAAAGTCAAAGTCAGTTCTACATTACCAAGGTTTGACAGATAATGAAGCTCACTTAGCTTATGAAGTTCAGTATACTTCTTTGCATACGAGTTAAATGGATCCTCAACGGTGTATGGGAACTTGAACTGTGATGCATCTTCCTCAATGTCCCAATATTCTTTGGAAATGGTGATCACATTCATATTGTTTACGTCAAGAATATTATCATTTGAGAATTTGTTTTCTTTATCTCTATTCAATTCTTCAGCGTATTTCCTGATTCTTCTTTCAGAATTTTGGAGATCTCTGATCATAACTTCAAGGTCACCTACGCTTGCTTTTCCGAATCTCATCTCTAGGAGCTCTTTATTCTGTCTTTCATTATCAAGATTAAAATCTCTAGAGTTTAGGACTCTTTCGGAGAGCATATTTCTGTATTCAGTCAGGAATTGCTTCTGACTGCCATAAATATTAACCAGAGTACTAATAATATCACTTTTAAGGAACTTGGTAGAAATATATCTATTCATCTTAGCATTGATGGGAGCTGGCTTCCAGTTTCTAGCAGCCTCTTCATCTTCATCAGAAGAAATATAGTAATAATCGTCCTTTTCTTCACTAAGGATATTCATATCATTGTTCTTGTCTTTAGTCTCCTTCTTCAAATGGGGATTTCTTAGATGAGGAGCAGGCTTTTTAGCCTCTTCTTCTTCAGTCTTGAGAGGGATTTTGACATATTGTTGGCCAAGTTCTTTGTATAACTCAGAATCTTCCTGATTGATTACAATATCAATGATACATTTGAGAGTATCTTTCCTTCTTCTGAGATATTCTTTGATAGGCTCTGAGACAATCTCAAGACAAGCAGCACTAGGATCGAGGATTCTAAGGACTCTGATTGTCTTAATGTACTGTTTGATAATTGTAGTTGTTGGTACACCTGGAATCAGAATACTCTGACATAAATCTTCCTTGAGCTTATAAGAGAATTCCTGAAGGATATCTGTTTTTGCAAGAACCTTCTTCAGATCGGTGAGACTATGCTTGTATTTGTCCATATTTTTGAGATCAAACAACTTGGAATATCTCATTCTGGCAAACCTATCATTCAGGTAGTTTTCTAGTTTGAGTTTCCATTGGTCAAGGATCATCAGGTTTGAGTAACTAAGAGTTAGATTTAAGACTTACGATAGAGTTCTTCTTCACGAAGCATCACTTTCTCTTTGTAAAATTCTTTCAAGCCATTTTACTACAATGTTTTGGAACCATTCATGAATTTTATCAAGGATTGGCTTGTTAGTCTCATGCTCGTGTTTGATGATCTTCTTGTCAATGAGAGAATACAAGACTCTGTTGCAGGCTTCTTCAATGTAGCTCGACCATCCCATATCAATGAGGTTATCTGAAATTTGACTCACTGTATGAATATGAGCATATTTATTTATCTGGACTCCTTTCTTTGGCCTATCAAAATCAAGGTATTCACTTGATGTAGCTTTTAGTAGAGGAGGTTTCATTGATTTCATCTTAAATTTCTGCTCGAGCTGATCATCAATCGCCATCTCAACATCTCTTGGAGCAGACCTGATGAACGTCTCGTAGGAGTAGTACTCCAAAGTGAAATATCTCAAACAAATTTCTGGGAATTTGATGTCTGAGTAGAGAAACATTTTGTGCTTGAAGAAAATATTCAACTTTTCAATTTGATCCCCTATGAATTCAAATTTCTTAGTCAGGCTAGCCAAGAACACATGATGCAGATTGTACACTTTGAAGGCATAATCTGTTGCAGCTTTGAAGATGTGTAGAATTCTTGTATCAGTAGATCTGTTTATGTTAGCTGGATCAAGCTCAAACCATTTTTCTTCTAAAAGAGAATTATTTAAATTTTAGGAGGAAAAATCTTACCTGCTATTATACGCTGAAACTCAATTGCATACTCATTTTTAATCTTTATCTTGAACTGGTCGTAATAAAAGTCGAGCCCATCAGCAAGAGTTCTTCTGATACACTTCTCATTCTTGTATTCCTGAGTAAAAGCTTCCAGATTAGGTAAAACTTCGTGAGTGAAGATGGTCTTTACGCAATTCTTAAATGCATTGAGAGCTTCAGACTGCTTCTGTAGCTCTGGAAGATTGAAGGCAGACAGGAGGGAATTCTTATTCATCTTTGTCTTACCTCTGAGCATTCCTAGAGTGATGCCTCCTTGACGATGTCTTATTCCGACAGACATTATCTTTATTGTTAATTTAAATTTCAAATTTTGATCCCTTATATGGGGTTTTGGGGTTTTGGGGTTTTGGGGTTTTGGGG